AATTCCCACGTGAATGGAGAGCAAAAAAATGCGTGGCTCAAATTCGAAAGCCCGCGGGGTTTCACGGGCAATTCTGACTTATCAGCCGCCATCAGCCAGTGATACCCAATCTCAAGTCTGGAGCTCCGTGGATTCGAATCCGGAATCATTGGTCGTTGAGTTGAACGCTCTACCAATAAGCCATGGGCCCGTTTTCATGTCTGTTGTGATGGAGATATTAGCCTTGAACAGAGATTCCCGGCGCAAATCCCGGGGGATCCACACTTGGGACTAAGTGTGACTAACTGATGACGGTCGATAAACCAGAAATCGCCAATTCAGTCTCTCTGGTCTTTGTCTGTACTTCATTGTCTCAACAGTACGTAACAGTCATAGCTGGATTAATAAGGCTGTCTGTCACCTTCACTCTTGACCACAGATTGGCTGCTGCGTGTAACCAATTGGAGCGCCCCACTCATACAACACAGAAATAAACCGTTCAAATACACGACCTTAATGAAGAGTAAATACATGATTGGGCGAAAGGTCAGTATCTACTCGTCCTCCCCGCGCTGCGAGGACATTTTCAGAGACTTCTTTCTGTGCTCTCGAAAATAATTCACGTGCTTCTACGTCGTTTACTCGACCGAAGGTGGAGAATTTTGTTGACCGCAGTCCATTAAACAATATATGGACACATAAAGTTGGAATAAGATCTGAGGCCCACCAGGTCAAAATCAGAGCGAATGTTGCCAGCTGCTCTATAACCTTCGAAAATTAAGATTAATTCGAGGAATTTTGTGCGTCCGATTTGCGCATACGCGCTCTGTTGTCAAGCGCCTGTTGGAGTCAATCGGCCTGCTAGCTGGGATCCCCTAGCAGTCCGCGCTAGATCTAACAAGACTCATTAAATTCCGGCCTAGCATCAATGATTTAGCGAGAGAACTAACTACTTAGGCGTACATATATTGTATACTCGGGTGTATACGTTCGTGGGAGTGAAGGAGTTTACCTTTGGACTACTTTAGACAGTCTAGAGCTGTTGACAGTTCTTTGCGGTAGGCTGGCTCTAACTTCGTTGGAACGAAGTGCCATGCGTACATCTCGGCTTCAACATTGTATGAAAGGAACGACCTCTGAGCTCAAGCATTCACTTTAAATGCATTTTAAAGACAAACGGATTGCAATACAAAGGTGCAACAAATAACAGAAAAAGGGTCGAACTGGGCCAAACAATGACAGACTTGCCGGTATCCATGGTGGAACAGTATCGTAAAGGTTACAGGAACCCGGATTCTTAAGCACGCTTGGCGTGTTATTGGTCAAGGAAAGCTCGTCACGATGGTTTTTTCTATTAACTGCATAGGCTGGAGAAACACTCTGTATATGGCGAGCGAAGTGACTGTTGTTGCTGTCGGAGCTGGGGTTAGCCGATAGCAGGTTTTTGTAGGCAATTAAAACCGACACTTAATTACTACACCGCTAACCTGATGAGTCATCATAATGCTACGCGTTAATCTTAGCCTACAGTCACGTAGTAAAGCGGAGCGTCCATAGCCGGTCTTACAATTGGACTAGGGGAGTAAACGCAAGACTCACGTGGGGTTGCCTATACTTGAGTACAGTCGATAGAACATGAGATCATGGATCCTCTAGTAGCCGATAAACCGGTGTGAATTTCAGTTTCTTCAAATAATCTTGTGTCTACTGCTTTTGTTTTACCTGAATGTCGGGGACAGCAGGGTCTTTTCTGACGCTTGACGCGTGTAGGGTCTTTCGGCCGCATTACTTGTTGCCAGATTGTGCAGGTAGGCCAGTAGGCAACCCCTATTCCGAGAGGCACGAGAAATTTAGCCGTTACTTCAGAGACCCCTTTCATGCATGTGATGCTTCACCACAATTTTGTTGGGCAGCGTTCCTCGGTCCGCATTCGATTCCATTCAATGACCGTTCGTAAATAGTCGTTAGCTTCGAAGTGTTCTCATTTGGCGGCTGGTGTGCTGCAGTGGGCTTCTACCCGTCGGTATAGCGTGCGAGTGCAACTTTGCTTGTGTTGCAGCGGGCGGCTGCTATTGTAACTCAATATTTGCAACGCGTTTGTCGGTTTACGGTAGACAAACGTCGCCATTCTACCGTCTGATTGGCGGAATATGAGAAGTTCCAAGAACGGAAGTCTGCCTTTCACTTCTTCGTCCATCGTGAACCGTAGACTGGGAAAAAAATTCGAGTTCAGTCGTTATTTGTAGTAGTTGATTATCCTCGGGTTGATGACAACGAAAGTGTCGTCAACGTAGCGTGCCCAAAATCGGGGCTCGTAATCTCCGAACAAACGTCTATCCAATTTTTGTAGTACAATCTCGGCGAAAAAAAAATGACACTGAGATGCGAGCCACACAAAGCGTTGCTCACAGACCGGAAGCAACAATCCGCAGGCAACTTATGCGGCCCAACGACCACCACATCAACCAAAAGTCCGGTGTCATTTACCGCATCGACTGTCTTTTTGGTCAAGACAATTATGTTGGTGAAACCGGCAAACGGGTTCTCACGAGAATGCACCAGCATGAACTGGCCGTGCGACCAAAGGACAAGCTTTCCCTGGTGGCCGCCTACGCATCCACGCCAGGGCAGGGCTTCGACTTCGAACACGTGCGAATGCTGGGTTGGTCAGACGACCGACCTTCACGCCTGCTGCAAGAAACATGGCATTCACGCGCGGATTCA